TGTAACGCCATTCGTAAGACATTGCATCAAGGTAATCCGGATGTCGTCAGAGTGGAGAAGAGACTTCTACAAATCCAATCGGTTTGTTGCTTGCATTGTTTGGCTTCATCTGCATGTGTGTGTGCTCCGTTTGTCCACATTTGGCAACAATCAGATATTCTGAGGCCACCATCATAGCATTCTGCCACTTACATTTAAACATTCAAAGAACTTAATCTTGTCGTACATAATTGACCTTCAGCATGGATTTTCGCATGGACTCAAGATTCAACACACACAGCAAAACTTGATAACAACCAAAAATTGGATTCAACACACACCCAACTGCAAGGTGCCGCGAAGCGGCATGCATTGAAACTGTAAAAGCTGCTTTTATGGCGAAGGACCTCGCCATATGCATCTAAGTAACGACGAAATAGGTTCTTGAGATTCTCATCGAAAACCATTTGGGAAATAATTCTGGGCTGACGGTAGTTTTAAACATAACTGGGCAATTGATTGCTTCAGCAGTGACTACGGCAGCTAACTAAGATTAAGTGTTCGCCTGAGGATTCTGTTCAGTTATGAAATCCCGCGTGTATCAAAATCGCGAGTGTGCTCAGCTGCTCAATAACAGAATTAACTGCGAGCATATCAACAGAATGCATCAAGCACATGGTTTCTTCGGATTGATCGGGCAATTTCAATAATTCTCATTTTTAGGGTGAGTCGCCGACTGTTTAAACACATTTGAATTTATGGATAAACCGACCGCNTCTCATCATTTACTTTGTCTCATGAGGCGCCACAAGAAGTAGTTTTATTACAAAATGTAACCACTCTGGAATAAAAATTCTCCATATTTTTTCCTAAACTCAAATAATTCTTCAACAATTTCAACAAATTGCTTTCGCATTCTTCGCATTGCAGTGTCCCTCTTCGCTCTTCACTCTGCGTATTTCTCCATTTATGTTGCTGAAGATCTTGCGTGTGATTCAATAATTTTTTAAAAACAAGTGACAAATGTCGCTCGAACAATCCATTTATATTGTGCTGATGACTTTGAATACGGCTATAACCCTGTCTTAAACTGCTCCAAGTTCATAGGAATCATTATAATTAATCCAGTGATGATTTTCGAACATTTATCAGACGAAGCATTTCAGTAGAACAGTTCCGTCACTCCCATATAATTGAATGTCATTCAGCACGAGAGAATTTCCATTTTTGTTGATCAGCGATCAAAAAAGTGCCCTCTAATGATGTGCTGCTTTCACTGCGAATCCTTTTTTGTGATGCAATTAACACATGTGTGCAATGATAAAACCTGAGTGTGCAGTTCTGATGCTATTCGATAATAACATCACCATGCAAGCTTGAGACATCAAAGATTTTACTCAGTTGTTTCGTGACAGACTTCTGCGAATGCAGGTGCCCTTAAAACATTTTTAATCATTGCTTTGAGGAGTGTATATCTGGGCACCATCGGAAGGAATCTTGAGGCACGATAATCGGAATACAAATTTTTCACTATTTTTCTTAAACTTAAATACTTTTTAATTAATTTGTACAAATCCAAATACATTCGATCACATTCTTTTCGCAGCTCAGCGGTTGACATTTCTGCAAATTAATCAATTGTTCGCTATTCAAAGTTAATACCCAATACCCAAATTTCTGCTCAGATAATCCCATTTTCAAATTCTGTGGTATTGAACATCGTATTGTGTCAGTTGACATCATCCATTAAGATAGGCTCAAAATCCTACCCAAAAAAATATTCCATTTTAATAAAGGATCAGTTGTTGATCTTTGCATCCAGTCAAATATCATTAAACAAACTTTTTATAGAGTCAAAGAGAGTCGCGTCCCTGGTTTTATCCACATTAAATGTCGCACTCAACAAACCAGCGATACCGGTTCGTTGTGGAGCTGACTTTACATCGTCCAATATTTCCATCACCCTTCAACAACACAAAATCCTCGCTCTGCACGAATACTTATGAATTTTCAAGCAAAATGACTCGAAACATTTCCACACGTTACTCTACTGTTGCTCCTTATTGATGAGTTTTTTTTTTGCAAAGTGCACCCGAATAAATTCATTCTTCGGATCAAAAAAATGTGCAAATGGAGCAATTTGGTCTCCACGAACGATTCAGTGATGCGTAAATTGGCTTACCGTATAACATAGTCGGTGGCCGGTTCGGATGCACCCGGTCCTGGTATGTCAAGTAGTTGCCAATACTGTTTTTCCAATATTGTTACCTGAAATCAAATTTCTAAACAGCTGATGATCGCATCCTTTGATTAAGCGATGAACAGGTACTATCACAGCCGACAACCACCATGATTGCATTTTTTGCGGAAATGCAACAGCAAAAATGATGATTAGTAAATAAATGAACGAGAAATTCGCGAAACTATCAATAACTCAATAAATCATTGGTTGAAATAAACTGTACTCTAAAT